TCAGTGTTGTCTCTGTTTTGCAAATGAGACAAGTGAAGCTTGAAGATCGCCCACGTCCTCGTGGTCATTAAATGCCAGAGCTGAGCACAGCCCTTAGTATTGGGCTCCTGGCCCATTTCTGTGCCCTTGTCCTGACAGCCCCAAGCAGAGACATTGATGGTGGTAGAAACTCTCTCAAGGATGGGACCCATCGCCACCATCACTACTGAGGGTGATGTTTGAAGACCACCACTGGGCCTGTTGAGTAATACCAACGTTTGGTGGTTAGTTACCCTAGTGGAATCTATTAGAAGACTGAGCTACCCAATTAATTCCTAATAGGATGTAATAAGGCATATCATTAGATGCAGTTAAATTTTATTGCCCCAGAAATCCAGGTCTTTGTTGTATTCTGCGGGACAGACAAGACTGATTGAAATGGCACTCTCCTCCCTGGGTGTCGCATGCCTAAAGCAGTTCTGACCTTGGTACATTGCCTGTTCCCAACTTCATTTGCATTTGACGCCTAGATCAGCTGCATCCCCCCATTGCTGAGCCATCCAAGTAGATGACAAACTCATGCTTCTGTTAGCTGCTATCCTAGAAGAGACTACACACTGCACACGCCGGAGGTGCACGTGCTGTCTCAGATGACTCCAGTCAGTGCACAGGCTTCTGGTGGCATTGATCCAAGAAGCCCCCAGTGGAGTTTAATACCCTGGTGAACAAAGACATGAGGGACATGAGAGAAGGAGATGCCTGCCACATCACTGAGTGCTGTGTCCAGCAGTGTTCCTATGGCCTGAGCTGGCACAGGAGCAGGGAGGGAGGGATGCTTCACAAGAAAGTACGTCATGCAAAGGGACCTCACAGACCAAGGAGGTGGATGGACACAGTGGCTGCAACAGTGGGCTCAGACGTAACAGTGGTTATAAGGCTGGCACAAGACTGGACAGCGTTTTGTTCTGTTGTGCGTAGGGAGTTGGAACCGACGGCAGCCTAACAGTAGCAACAACATAAATGTACACACCAGCCCAGCTGAAGGCAGAAGTCTGCAGAAGGCTCACCTCCCGCGGCCCCCTGCAG